CTTCAGATAAGAAAATGCTCTCAAAAAATTTCCCTTGACTTTGTTAGAAATGATGACTGAGTAGAAAGTAGCAAGCTGAACCTCTGTTTAGCTTTATCTTTATTTATTTTATGATGTTTTCTATTTGATAAATTTAACATAATTGGCCTCCCATGGCTTATATATTGTTAGTTGATTATATAAGCAAAAAGAGGTTGTTTGTCTTTGGATTGTGTTTTCCTGCAAAGGATGAAGATTAAATGAAAAGTGCCCACAACAAAAGCAGACTCTGATAGATGATGAAATGAGGAGTCCGAAAATATTCTCGACAGAATTTTCCTTTTAAACACATAAATAAGACAAATTACTTTGTATTTACTGAGATCAGAAGTTCTACATGTACGTGGCAGTCCCATCTGCACTGGTTCACTTGTGGCAAAAGACCTTTTTCTTTGGAGGCTGCAGAAAATAGAAAGGATGTCCCATATTCCCTGACTCCTGACAGGGTTCTGTTATATCCATGCTATTCTTTCACAAGGCTTATCTAATGGGCCTTTTTTTGTAGAAACCTGCAGCAGTCTGAATTCTACGTATTTCTGCTGCTTTGGTCTCTTCTAGTCTGTCAGCCTCAGTAGTAGAAAATGTTTTCTTATATGTCTTGAAAAATACTGCAATGGAAGCCGGGTAGTTATCATGCTGTCTCTCACAGACCTGGAGAGCAGGGGTTTTTTAAAATTAAAGCAATATTTCGCCTATTTTGCTGTAGTCATCCTGTGTCTTATCGTAATTTTTTTTAAATTAACTTATATAGATTTTTTTTTTTCCCAGTCTTCCTTCTCTGCACATTTGCCCACCATTAATGCTTCACGTTAATCACACCTGAACCTGTTTTCTTTGGTCTCTTTGCAGTGTCCCAAAATGGACACTGAATTCGAGCTGGACATTACACTCATGCTGAGCAGAGTAAAAAGGATTTTTGTGGTCTGTACCCACAGCGTTTTTTGCCTTTTCTACAAAAATATGACATATTCAGTGGTAATACCATCTTGGGTCATTCGTCCCTATTGTTCTATATTCTGTATTGGTTTACTGATCTTTATTGTTTGGATTTAGCATCTTATACTTGCTTTTAGTGACTGTCATCCTGTTTTTCCCAGTTTGTCAGGGTAAATTTAGGTAAACCCCATTTTCTTTGGCACACAGAATTCTGAAAATATTCACCAGAATATTTTATCAGTATATGAATAGTTCCCTGTTCAGTTCATCCATGCATGGATGGCTGAGGAAACGGAAGCAGAGTGTAGATTTTATTCATGTTTGAGGTTGTTTAATGAAAATTATTCTGTTTACTTGTGGATTTTAAGAATGTGATAATTTTACAGAATTCAGTTTTTGGTCTTTTGAGAATTACAGGATTGGATATGAACTTTTGGCCAGGTTGGGTCTTTTGCCTGATCATGGCCTTGGGTGTGCAGAGTTTTGTAACTTAATGTGTCATGAGAGAGAACAGATTTTTTTTCTGACCTCCAAGGATAGAGATTTTCTAGTCTCTAAGGATTCAGATTGTTGGATCTTTAAGGTATTTCTACTTTGTAGTACAATGAGCTCTTCTTCAATGTTGCAGTTCAGCCTTAGAAACTGCTACTTTTCTTTTTTTTCCATTCCAAGGGAGAAGGCTTATGATGCTTTTTATTAAATAATTTTTGGTGGATTATTCACTTTGGGAGTTTTTTTCCTTGATCAAGTCAATATGTTTGTGCAATTTTATCACTGCCTGTATGATTTTGGTTTTCACTTTATCAATTATTTGTGATTAGATCAGGCTGCTTATTGGATGTAGAAAAATGCTCTAAGACAGGATATTATTGAATTGTTTTTCTCAGCAGAAGATGAAGCCCCTGGGAGAGACAGGAAATTGAAATTTTCTTCGTTGATTTTTATAAAATACATTAGGGCTGTTGCATAAACTTCTGTAGTTGGTGTTTGATTGGTAAGATATGGCATGATTACTTTTCAGATAGCTATCTTGAGACAACACAGTTAGGATAACCAACATTTCATGATCTTTTGTTGCATGGTCTTTTGTCACTGTATACTGAGTACTACCTGTTTTCCCCAAGCACAAGGCTTATTTTTTTTCATTTGGTTTCTTTTGTAGTAGGCAATTATTTTTTTCCCTGATTAGTGGTGCAGTATGTTTTCACAACCTTGACTAAAATGTGGGTAGAAAGTTTTATCTGGGTTATGTGTGCTTTCCTCAGGAAGTTGTGGTTTTAAGCCCAGCTGCAACTAAGCACCAGGCAGCTGCCCACTCGTAGGTTGAGGTAAAAACAGTTTAATAAATGAAACAAAAGTAAAATATAATAATAATAATAATACATAATAATGATGGTAACAAAAGGGGAAAAAAAACAAACGAGGGAAAAAAACAAGCAAGGAAAAACAACAGATGCACGACACCACCCACTGACCAATCCTAGACTCTCCTTCCAGGTAACTCCCTTGGTTTATATGCCAGGCATGATGTTCTCTGGAATATCCCTTTGGCCACTTCAGGTCACCTCTCCTGGCTGTGCTCCCTCCCAGCTTTCTTGTGCACCTCCTCACTGGCAGACCACGGCAACAAAAAAAGTCCTTGACTCAGGAAAAACACTACTTATCATAGTTATCATATATATTTCTCAGTAAGGACACTGAATTATGTATCCTCACTGAAACAAGTCTCTTTTTTAAAAGGTTTCTTGCAGTTCTGGAAATCACATGTATGTAAAATGAGAACACCATTTCAGTACTTAGTAATTCAGGTCTATTAGTTTATTGCCGGATTTTTTTCTTTGAGCGTGAAGAATTGTGACTTTTTTAATGAACTGAAAAATACCATTTAAAAATTTATGTGTGACTCTGAGGATGTGGCCTTAAGGATATGGTTATGCAGTCTTAAATAGCTAGTCTGGGTTCCTGAGTTGAGACAAGGCTAATTAAAAGCCACCATGAGACAAGGTTACTTAAGTGCAGCAGCAGCAGCTCCACGTTTAACTGGCAGCACACAGTTATTCAATCAACTTACAGACCTGGCCCAGCTCCCCCTAAAATGAGATTTACTATCGATATCAAATTGTAATTGATTGGCACTTTGACTGGCATTTTCCAAATTGTTTCATTATAATATTGCTTTAGACTGTGCCCAGTAGCATTGAAAAAAACTTCATCGTGTGCAGGATCGAAATATTCCAAACTGCCCAAAGATGGGAGAAAAAAGAATAGGACTGTTTCCTCTCTAAGACCTCATTCTGCAGGAATACCTACCTTTTAGTTTTTCCAGTCTGGTCTTTTTAAAGGCTCTTTGCACCTTCTCAGAATTGGGCTTGTGTAGTCCTGCTGGTGTTTTGTCTTTATTCAGTATCCAAGGCACGTTAGTTGAATTAGGCTCCCTAAAAAACTTGTAAATTCCAGTGGCAGTGGAACTATTGCAGTGTGAATTTAGCCTTGATAGACAAAAGTTTTCAGAAAAAAAGTCTGATTTTTCTGCAGTCTTGGAACCAAGATGTAAATAAATATTACTACTTTCAAGTTCACCGAAATGCATTCTTAATGCCAGAATTTTATTCTCACTTAATGTCATTTGGATTGATGTCAGTGACCTCTTTGCTCAGTATTCTGTGAAATAAAATAAATATACATGAAAGTTAACAGCAAATGTTAGTCCATCAAAATCCGACAGGATTATGAAAAATAAGGATAAGTCTTGATAAATGATGCATTCAGGAAGACTTCACTAATACATATGAGCCCATCCTTTGGAAGAATAACTTTTCACCATAAACCAGAAATGGTTTTTTTCTGGTGTGAGCAGTGTTACTGCAATGTAGTTATCCTTTACCAGGGAAACCATCAATTAAAGAAATTAAGTACTTTTCCTCCAACTTGCTTTTCGACACGGAAGCAGTTTCATGTCTAGTTCTAGTAACTAATGAGAAGTGTCTCAGCATCACACAGACCCAGGCTTAAGTTCAACCTTTCAAACGTTGTCTATGACCATGTTAAACACTTCTATAGGGTTTATACATCATTTATGTTGTGTGGCTGCACGTTGAGCTCTGCTATAGTCACCTGCACATTAAGCTACACTGCAGTCAGCAGAGTGCATGAGGTCTTGAAAAGTCTGTCAAGAAAACAGTACCTGGCTGGGGATGAACTCCAGAGATCTGGTGAGCGTGGGGTGGTGCTGAGGGGAAAGTGTGCTTGCAAATATTGGCTCAAAAAGAGAATGTGTTGCTCTTCATCTGAGAAATGAGAACTTTTCCCAGTCACTCTGCATGTACAAAATGTTCTTTTACTTAGAATTTCAAAGACAAAAAGGTAACCAGTTAGCCCAGTGTCCTTCTCTGTGGTGCCCTTTTTGAACAGGGAAAACAATGTTATTTTGCAAATACAACAGTGAAAGGAACCTGTACCTTGTTCCTTTTGGATGCATAGTAGTGCTACTAATGACAGGGCTGAAAACTGCAGGAATCTGGGAGCTTCCCTTAAATGGAAAGTTCTTGCAGAGAGTGTATTTCCCTACAAGCATGAATGTTGGGGTGTTTTCTAATTTCTCTCTTTATGCCAAGTTAGTTTAATGTGAGTATCTCCATGCTTAAAACCACAAAATAGTGTGGCAAAATGTTCTCAGAAGTCAGGTAAAAGAACAAAATTAAAAAAAGCTGTTTCAATACCTTGAATTTTCCAGAAGGATATTGTAGCATAACACTAAATTTTTTTATAGTATGGAATTAATTTTGCTGTTGACATTGAAATTATTATAAACTTGCATTCGCATTTGAGCACAGTTCCCACGTACTTTTCTTTTTCAGGGAAAAAAAAAAAATCCCTTAAGGCCTGGTCCTTTTGCAAGGAATTCTGACCCAATTAATACATATTACTAGAAAAATTTATATCCTTTCCTCTCTCACATGAAAAATTACAGGGAAAAATACATTGAAGATTGCATCATCTTTTTTTTTTTTCCTTTATTCCCACAGGCACAGCAGCTGACAGATCTGGAGCAAAAACTAGCAGTTGCAAAAGATGAATTGGAAAAAGCAGCCCTTGACAAAGTAAGGAGTGTAATGGAATGTAAGCATGTTTATCAGCTGTGAATGTTTCGGTGTAATTTGACAAAAAACAAATGAAAGCCTGGCAGTGATTTAGATGAATACTTAAATACAGGTCCTTGGGAGTGATGCTGCTGAAGTCAGTTAAGCGTGAAGCTGAGTACAACTGCGAAGTTGTTTAATAGGAGGGCGGTAAAATTAGAAAGAAACAACCCAAAAATATTTTTTTGCACTGATTTTTAACGGATTTAAATATTTATTGAATTTAAGTTTGTGCTGACAGTGGGCTTAGTGTCTCTCACGAGTTTATTTACACTCCAGCATGGCACATTCCATCTCCTATTTCTTTGATTTTCCATATTGTGCCGTGCATTAATAGTCTTTTTATGGTTGTCTTTGATCCTACCAGTGAAATATACTGACAGGCATTGTTTATTTTTTTTAGAAACACTCTTTATTATTTTTCCCAGTTATGGGATATAATTGATTCCAGTTCAGGGGAACTTTTTCTGACGTATAACAGGGAATATTTGTCATGGTCTCAAAAATATTTGCTTAGCAAATAAACTAAAGCAGCATGGTATATGCCATTGCTTAGGATAAATGTGAAATACTTTTGTATTGTGTATGTAATATTTTTCATAGTTAATATGCAGTAATTAATATGTGTAGTGTTACTTACACATGTATTTTCTAGCAGCTTCTGCCATGGCATACCTTGATTTATGTATCTTTCAAAAGATCTTTGATGATTGAAATGTGCTGATGTTGCCTGTATTTATAAGTGCATTCTTAATAAAAAGAATAAAAGCTAGGGTGAGTTTTTTTGGGCCAGATGCTGCTAACTCCCCTTGAAACGAGTGTCAGGAAATTACCTCAATAGCTAACATTTGACATGTGTCTTGCTCTCATGAAGCAAAGATTTAAAAATAAGATTTCCTCAGTGCTGTCTTTATCTCACTGTTCTTACTGCCTCAGTTTGTTTAATTACAGACTTCTATTTTCATTAATACATCTGTCTATATTTCTGTGAATAAAATAACAGTGTTCTAACATGAATTGCAAGCTCTTCACCACTTAGAAGGTTTAGTTTGGCCTGATGGACAGCAGTGGACCTGGACAAACATACTCTTAACTGTCCAAAAGACCTGTGCTTTCCTTACTATACACTGCAAAAGTGTGATATGCTCATGAGGGAGGTCATCTCTGCTGGAAATCATCTTTGTTGGATTAAAATTCGTCTTTATAACCTGCGGAAAAATACAATTATTCGGAATGCTGTAAATCAAAACTCCATGCAAAGTCTGTGTCTTTGCAGTACTTCTCTGTGGCTATTATACATAAAAGTGCGTGTGTGTATATATATATATACATAAATGTATGATATTTTGTAGATTTTCTTTTCAGAAAAAAATATATTTACTTATTATTTGCAATCATCAACATGGATAAAACTACATGGAGGAAAGGGAAGAGGGTGCATTTTGGTGTGTAATGCACAGGAACCTGATTGTATAAAATACCTTAAACAGCCTTAATTCTGTCCATTAGTAAGAAAAAAACAGCAGCTGCTCGTAAGTGTTTGGTTTAATGCAGAGAGAGAAAGGACGAAATTCTGTTCCTCAGAACACATCTTTAGAGAAGTGATGATTTCTTGTTTTCCACAGGAGTCCCAGCTGAAAGCTCTGAAGGACACCGTGCAGCTCTGCCTGTCTTCTGTTCTGCACAATCAGCCTCTCCCTATAAATCTAATCCCTTCACAACCAACTGAGAAGCAGAATTCCCCAGTTACAAAGGGCTCCAGAGCTCCATTTCAAGTGACAAACACCAAGGTACAGCTTCTCTCTCAGATGTGGTTTTTTTTTTTTTAAACATCTTTTAAAGTTTGTCCTGTAAGAGCATCAAACTGGAACTAAGGAGGATTTTAAATTAATTGAAAGATTAGGATGAATTTTGAGGATGATTCTAAGCCTGTCTCTGATGTCAATAAAGGTTTTTTTTTAATGTTGGGAAGCAGCTGCTTTCTTGCTGAGGAACAAAATTCCTTCTGTCATTTGGTGAATGGATCATGTCTGCAGAGCAAAAATGCAAGGAAGATGGATTTGCATTTAAAATAAGTGAGGATGCTAATTCATAGGATCATTTACCTGTCAGGCACTGAGAGTGAATTTGTGGTAATGCAGCTCTAAAAAGTAAGATGGTTTTTGCTTATCATGCTTTTTTTTCAGTGGAAAAATTTGATATAAAAAGCATAAAATAATCTGGGACGCCGAATCAAATTTGCCAGAAGGAATCTGTGAACTTGTTAACAGGGTGTAGGGAATATTCTTACATTCTAAGATGAGAAGGGTAGTTTAGGAGAAAGTATGAGGGGAAAAAAAGTGTTTTGATTCAATAAATTCAAATATTTTAATACAGTTAAGATTTACAGTGACTAACAACTATCCTAATAATTCCATCTCCAGGGTTGAATTTTGCTCCTGTATTCAACTGATTCAGTAGAGGAATTCTAGATATAAGAAGAAATCTGTGATTTCAGTTAAAAGGAAATTTTACAGAAGAATGACTGAAGGACACTTCAATGTCCTCTTTAAATTCCAAAACTGAAATATAAATACTAATTGCTAACTCATAGGCAATTAGTAATTTGTGTATGTCAGCTGTTGGTTTTCACTGTTAGCGCAGAGCCAGAAGCCAGAAATTAATAATCTTTGTAATTAAAATTGAAACACAACTTCAGAAAGCAGAATGTAATTATAGAACCGGATCTCACATTGCTACTCTCACGATAACGATTGTCAGTCCCTTAATAACTGTTTTATAGGAAGAAACCTTCATTCCCCAAAATTATTACCTCTGGAAACAAAGCACTGTATTAACCAGGAGCAGCACATGGGTATGTTGGTGTTCATTCAGATTAAGATCATTGGGTGTGTGTCCTGCAGGGGAGCAGACTCTTCTTTTGTAGGTCACACAGGCTGAGCAGAACTCTGGGATCTCTAGAAGAATATTTTTCCTGATTAATGTGGCTCTTCTTCAGGTTGGAAGTGTTTGTGCCCCTGTCATGAGAGCAGAGAAGGACTGAAGGATAAGGGCAAGACATAAGACACAAGCAATCCCTTATGTCTGTTTAGGATCGATTTAGGGTCAGAGCCTTGGGAGAATTTGAGGTCTCCTTGGCTTTACAGGTAGCACTGTCGCTGAATGAAGTATATGGGAACACAGCACAGAGATTAGAACTGAATTTTTGATATTTGACTGAAAAACAGAGTAGTTTTCCTTCTTTTTTTAAATGATTGTATAGATTTTGTGTTTACTGTACTTGGTAAAATGTATCAGTGTTTCTGTGCTGCAGCCTTTCAAGAAACCAGCATTTAGTCCTCTGCACCCAGAAGTGCTTGAATAAGTTATATTGCTTCTTTAATAGGCATTTCTCACATTCCTCTGTACTTGGCACATGACATGGAAATGGCTAAGAAAATAATGGTCTGCAATCCTCTTCTTGCACACGTTGACATCTCATTATTATAAATCTGTGATTGTAAAACTACTGAAATCGGCTGCTGTGAAACAAGTTGTCAAAGAATCATGGTCTGTCCAGAATTACACCCTCTGTACTTCAGCAGTATAATAGAAGGTGTTTTTTTTATTATCATACCCATTCTTAGGTATCTTCTCCTTGTTTTTTTTATCTTTGACGAACCAATTAACTCTAACTACAGATGTATGGCTCTCTGTTTTATTATTATTATTAGATTTGCATAAATATTTTGATATAGCAGGCTAGTATTTTTAGGGCAGCATAAATCTGTGTGGTTAGTTAAACATGTTATCATATGTAAAAGTGGGAGCAGCACTTACACATTTTGTCATGCCTGATAAGCAGCAGTTTCAGCTTCAGAGGACAAATGATAATTTGTCTGGTAAGTATCTTAGAAATAAGATATTCTCATCCAGCCTAAAAATTGCTGTCTAAAGTGCCAGACTTATTTTAAATCTGTGTAAGGGTAAATCATACAGTATGACAGCTGTATCACTTGGGGACAATCATCCCTGGGTGTTTCCTGATTAAAAAAAAAAAAAGAGTCTAAATGAGTAGGTTGCATATTTTTATTCATAATTGGTCACCATAATACCTGTGTGCTCATTAGAGATATTTAGCACAAGAACGTGGTGTAGAAAGGGTAACTAGGAAAGCAAACTGCCAGATTTCTTGAAAATACACATTTTGGTTTTTCTAGAGAAAATAGGGATATGAAAAAGCATAAATCAGTGCATAGAAGTGCCTGGATCAGTGAAAAAAAAAAAAAGGTGGTTGTTCTGGATAGCTCACTAATTTGGAAAACTGTGTAGCAATGGGAAATTCTTACATTTAAGTCTTAGAAAAAGTTCCCTCAAAGTGATCAAAAGCAGTAGAAGACTGAGGTGTGTTTTTTGATGTGTCTTAAATAAGTTAATATTTGCAATGTACAGGAACCTATAATACAGGGTTTACCACCAGTATTTCAGTTCAAAGCCATTTTAGCTGTCATGTACCTGACATGTATAACACAGTACTGGTGCCAAAAGCATTGACAAAGGGATTTAGGGCTCTGTGAATACAAGTTCAACAACACTAAAAAGTAAAAACAAGCATGACCAGGAGGCTGATCATTAATCCTGAACCATAAGGGTTTTAACTTTCTGGATTATTGACAATTCTTTTTGTTATACAGTTTCTTTTGGACTGTAATGTCACACCAATAACCATTTTATGTTCAGCCATTGGAAAATTTTTTCCAACTAGTTGAGAATTGGATCTGTCTCTTGTCAGTTTTTTTGTCCCATTCCCATTACAGAGGTGATGATGAAAGAGAAAAATGAAAACAGAGGAGGAATGAAACTCTGCTTTCCTTTTTATTCTCCAGATGAGTGCCTAAGGACCTGGACACTTAAAGAGTGTTGTTAATGGATGGAAATCATAACACTGACTAGGCTACCCAAATCAACTGCAAATTCTTGCTCAAGAATCTATGAAAACCCACAAATATAATTAGGGTTGTTATTAGGAAATAACTGTATTGCTCACAGTTGGGGGGAAATATGTCATGTAACCTCATAACTTTATCAGAGGAAGCAGAGGGTGCACCTAAAGGGCAAAAAGTATTTTATATATATATATATAAACTACAAAGAGTCATATAATATATATATGTATATATACATATGTATATATACATATACTTTATATACATATATATTTACATATAATATATATATATAAATAAAATGTTATATATCTATTTATTATATATATAAAATATTATATATATATTTATATATATTTATATATATAATATAAAAATCATGTAGGTGTGGTGCTTGGGGGCACAGAGGTCTTTTCTAATCTTAATTATCCTGTGATTTTATCCGTGGTCAGCTGTAAGTAATCAGCAGGAGCATTGAGGGCAGTGGACAGATTTGTACTCCATCAAAGCCTTAGGATTCAGCCTCTGGTGCCTCAACACTTTTTGACTTTTGTTTCCTCCAGCTTTGCTTCTGCCAGAGTTAATGAGGTATCACCAAGACCTGCAGTTCCAGTAACCTGTAGATCACGGTGTTCAACGAGGGGATTGGAAAACTGTAATTTAAAAAAAGGCAAAAAGCAATTACTAAGTGTAGAGTCAGCCGCAGGTTGTACTGTGCAGTAATGACATGCAGTCATATAACCCTTTCTTAATGCATAAAAACATTAAGAGAATTAAATGGTATTGAAAAATGACACTATCCGTTGTTTTAGGATTTAATTTCAAAGAGAAAGGAATGTGTGTCTCCTAAGATAGAAATCTCATAGAAATGTGAGGTGCTATGAGCATCTGTAAGGCTAATGTAGTAAGAAATTTGTTTTTAAATAGATAAAAGGTAATTTAACTGCAGATACCTGACTAGCATGACTTATTTATTCATGTAAGTCTCTCCTGTTCTGCTTTCCATAGCTGCCTTTGGGCTAATGGACTTTCATTCTCATTGTGATCAACTAGATGGCAGCCATAAAATCCTGTATTGATGCCAGTGGTGATTCGCAAGGTTGTGGCTACTCTTTCTCATACCTTTTATTTCCAGAATTTGCATTAAATTCAGCGTGGTTTTGCTGTTGCCTCGTAAAGATTGCACAGAACTTTTCCTACAGCTGTTTTTCTTCAGCCCTTTTTCCTTCGGTGACTAATTTTTAATAAAATTTTATTGCGTGACGGAAAAATATTTAACACCAGAGATTATTAAATTGAAAGCTGAAGCTCTTAGGTTTTATTGCTCCCTTTAAAGAAGTCTTCATTATTAGCACATTATCTTGATAGTAAATTAGTTTTAGAGGGTTTTTTTTACCCAAATACGATCAAGAGAAATTGGAAAAAAGCACCTGGCATGTCTTATTTAGCCCCCTAGAACAATATCACTCTCCTTCAAGTTTTAGTGACACAATCTTTATAATTACTTTCATTTCATTAACTATTTGACCTCACTCCTATTTGCTGCAGAGTGTAAGTGGCTGGACTGGCCCGTTACCCTCAACTCTGAGCTTAGGAAAGGCTAATTAGGCTGATGGGCTGATGAGGTAGCTGTTCATTGCTGCACTTTTTGTGGATGTTAACTGCAGATCAGTTTGCCTGTGTATGAAAACTACTCCAGAGACTCACTCCAAATATCCTCTTTTAAAATTAATGTCTCTGCCTATCAGGTGTTTCTGTAAAGTTTCCTGTAATCTGGCACATGACATGTCTTAAAAATACTGTGGGTGACTGGCAGGCAGTGGCTGAAAAAGTAAATGTGTATACAGAATTTAAGTTTCTTAAGG